TCTTTAAGGTGCCGCCAGACTCCTTGTTGTTTTTGTGGATACAGACTAACATGGCTACCCTTCTGATACTTAGTATCCCCACAATCAGCTTCTTCCACCCCCCCCCCCAACTCTCCCTAATCCAGTATCCCCACCCCAGCCCCACAATCAGCCTCCCATCTCTGGTCTCTCTAGTACTCTCCCCCCCCCCTCCCCAGCTCTACAATCAGCCCTCCCCCACAACTCCCTGGTCTCTCCTATGTAAAGCTGAGGGTAGGGGGAATAATCAAGCTCCATTTGCGGAGTGATTGTTTTTCTCTCTCCCCACAGTGAGAGAGGTTGGGGGGGCTGGAGTGATGGCTGTATGTTGCAAATTGGGGGGGGGCAAACCCAGGGCAGCCCCCCCAGCGATAATAGGTGTTTGATGCCCCCCAGGAGGGGAGGGGAAGGAGGAGAGTGTCTGCATGAGGTGTCCTGAGGGCTGAGCAGGTTGTTGCTGAGGTTCTTTTGTGCCCTGAGAGCAGAGGACGGGGGGGGGGGTCCAGGGTTTAGAGGGGGCCTGCTGGCCAGGGGCCCTTGTTCTTCTATCAGGGGGGCCCCACGAGAGTCAGCTGAGGAAGGGGGAGGTGGGCTGAAGAGATCTGGGGGATGGAGGCCATTTCAATCCCCCCATCCCCCCCACTAGTATTTGGATGAGTCGAGCTGGCAACTTCCTCCTTTTCTTTTCCTCTTGGGGACGTTTTTTCCACCCATTGCTTAGCCTGTCCGTTAACGGCCTTGCCCACCCATTGCTCAGCCTGTCCGTTAACTGGCGATAACAGTACCCGCAGGGTTACACCCATTATTACCCTGGCACTTTGCTCTGTGACTGTCTGAGCTTCCTTCCCCTGCATCACACAGGCACCTTGCTGGCTGATCACGGGGTGGTGAGCGCTAGAGCCTGGGGCTATTCTCAGGAGGGTTGCTTGGGCGCACTGGCTCTGGTGCTAGTTTCTTTAATGTGTGGGGTTGCTTGTGAGCACCAGGGGCTATGCACAATGTGCTGCTATTGTAGGGTCGCTTGTGAGCTGCACATGCTGCGTTATTCCTGTAGAGTGCTTGCAACCACCCCCTGGGGCTATGCACCCACCTTTCTGTTATATGAACTTGTGCGAACTCCCAGGGACTGTGCAGGCTGCCTCGTGATGGTAGGGTCACCCAAGGGAGACGCACGTGCGTGCTGCCTCATTATTGTAGGGTCACCCGTGAGAGCTGTGTATGTTCCCTTGGTGATGTCACTGGTGTCAGAAGGCAGGTCACCCAGGGCAAGGCCGCCCGTTGGCACGGGATCAGACTCTCACAGCTTTCATTGCCAGGAAGCACTGGTTAAACATGCATCAGACAAAGGGCTGAATGCATAGAATAAAAGGCCGAAACAAATGGGAGGCCTGGTGTCTGTGAGGCTCCTGGGTTAGCCGGTCCTACTACACCCTCATTCTCCCCAGCCTGTTTTGCCCCAACCCAGCTGTAATGCAGGATCTGCCCTGCCTGGTAGTGCATGGGCAGCAGCTAAGCAGAGCCTGGTGGGAGTAGCACGACTGTAGTATCCTGTCCGCAGCTTCTTTGCTTCAGGGGGGCTCTGGGGGTTTTTGGTCAGAGGTGTCAGAGAAATCTATAATGCTGTGGGAAGTGGATCTAGCTCCCATCCTGGAGTGTGTCACCTTTAAGGGAGCAGGTATTCGGAGACTAAACCATCCCTGTTCTGATCCCATCACCTGGGGCAGCAACATCCGGTGCCCATATTCTCCTGAAGGCAGAGTGGGATATCACCAGATCAGGCTAGGATGTGGGGATTAGAGGGAGTGTGGATGAGGGGTCAGAGCATGGGTCTAGACTCACTGCTGACTCACTGTGTGACTTTGGCTGAGTCACTCCCCCGCACCTCCCCATGCTCAGTTTCCCCATCTGTGAAATAGGGCTAATGATGGTGGGCTGTGGAAAGGCCATGTACTTTCTGCCGTTTACTACAAAAGAGAAGTAAGATCTCTTCTTCTGGTGGGAGCCTGGGGGAGCAGCAACCTCAGCCCCTGGGGCTGGAGGCAGGGGGAGTGCTTGGCAGCGCCCCTCCCTGAAGCTTAATGAGCAGCGCTGTTAGGCTCTAAAGAGAGTCATCACCTTCCCTTGCCCTCATCAGAAAAAGGAGGCTGCTGTGGGGCATGAGGAAGTGGCAAAGGATGGGCAGGAATCTGCAGGGCTCTGAGGGGGAAGCATGAGAGACAACCCAACCCCCTCTATCCGGGGCATCCCAGGGCGATGCTGCCCCAGCCTGTGGGCCCTGTGAGAAAATCCACGTGCCTTGTTTGAACTGCACCCACTATGGGAGACCCTGGGGGGAGATCCAAACCGTCACTAAAGATGACTCTTCTCATTGGGGAATAGCAATCTATGCCAGAAAACAGAGCCCCTGAAAGAAACCAGCATCTCCTGTGTAATTGCTCACCTTAAGGATCACATCAGGCTTGTTGAATTAATAGCTTCCCCCCCGAAAATGTCTTGGCCTACCCAGAATGGAGAGACCTCTCCCAATCAAATTGATCTCTTCTCTCAGAGCCCAAAGGGTTAAACTTTTTTGCCTGGCTTCCCCTGGGGGGAACAAAGGCCTCGCCTGGTCTGGATGTGTCCCTCCAGAACACCAGGGGTTAAACTCTCCCTTTCGCCATCACCCCAATGACTATTAGGACCGGCTGGAAAACAAAAATTCCTTTCTGTAAAAAAGGGAGAGGATTGGAGATTTATTTTCTGCATGGGAATGAAAAAGAGACCTTGAGAGACAGAGCGCATCTGTGTCCCCACAATAGCCTGGTGGTTTGGGCACTCACGTGGGATGTAAGAGATCCGGGTTCAAGATCCTGCCCTGAATCAGGGGGAGAGAAGCCTTGAACCTGCGACTCAAGCGTCACAGGTGGGCTATTCTGGAGTGTCTGCTTTGGGGGGTTGATCTCTGCGGTACAGGAGCGGAACAGGCGTCCTTTGAGCTCTCCTCTTTCTGCCAGTCCAGGGGTTACATGGCAGTGTTGATTCATTTGGTGTCCCTGTTGGTGGCTGGGAGAGAAGGGGGTGGGGGAGAGTGACAGGGATTTAGCTGGGATTACAAAGCCATCAGCTAGGGGAAGAGGAGATAAAACGCTTGGAGGAGAGAGAGAGAGGGGATTAATTTTATTTTATTCCTCGGAGGGCTGGAGTCCCGAACCGGCAGTGAGAGTGGGAGGGCAGGCAAAGGGAGGGGATCTGGATGGGTAGCAGGTCCGTCCACCCTCTTGGGAAACAATCTTGTCCTGCCCTGGGGGGGAGGGGGAGAGGGGTTACCAGGGTCTGAGTGGGATATGGCACATAGGGACAGTTCCCCACCCCTTGGATACAATCCCAGATCTGTCCTGGCATGGGGACCTTGTCAGGGTGTGACTGATGGGGCACAAGGAGCAGGCGGATCACTGGGGCATTCTCATGACCTGCTCTTTGTAGCTTGGGAGGGCAGTGGGACGACTAGCATATTTCCCATAGTCGCTCCCCCATTGTTTGTGCCACGTGATGTCTCCTTGGTAGATGCCATCTTGAGAAGTTGAGCTCCATCTGAGAGGCATTATGTTGGCAGGGGGATGGACCTGGTCTCCTTGGGCCATTTGCTGAGGCTGGGAAATCCAGAGCTGCAGCTGGTGTCTAAACAGGAGATCCCTGTTCCAGGGGTTCCCCACTTGGGCGTCTGAGCAGGGACTTTGGGTCGGTCTCTCTGTGGATCGGAGCACAGACAGGCCCCATAAGGCCTGGTTTAATCACCAACCAACCCGTTGGCTGCCTTCCTCCTCCAGAGGGAACAGGCTGGAGGTTCGCTGGTTACGCTTGGCCTGCTCTAGCTGGGGCAAAGTTCAGCCTCCTAGGCGGATGAGCATAGCAGTAAAGATCTGAGCAGAGCTGTGTTACTGCCCCCGCCCCCAAAGGTCCTGTGGAGAGTAGAGCATGTCCCAGGCTGGAGGTTACGATGCCATGCTGCCAGCCGTCAAATGGGCCAATCTGGCAGTGGCCTGGGGCTAATGCAGGAATAGTAGCCTCAATACCTTCCTCCAAAGACTTTGCAGCCCTCTGGGGAAATCAACCACAATAGCTGTTGCAGAATAGCCCCCCCTCTATTCTGTTCCTGAATAGAGTGCTCACATGGGGAGTGACTGTACCTAGTGAGCAGAGCACTGC